GTGGATGTTTTGCTGGCTTGTGATGGGGTGTGAACCGACAGTCTGTAGAGTTTTCCATATATATACTCGTACATATACAAATACATGTACAAAATGTTTTGTCAGGGTCTGGGCTGCCAGAACTCTCCACGGGCTGGAGAATCAGTCGAGTGTAATGTCCCCGCATATTATGCCTGAATCTAGTCTGCAAATTTTGCTCCTTTGGCCGCCAGCTCTTTTCAGGGCCTGGTTGCACTGATTTTCATAACATAGAAATAGAATATATACTTGTATCTGTTCTATTTCCACGCCAAACTTGGTGCGCGGAAACCTGTAAGAACTTTTGCCGAGTTTCCTTTTTCAATCCGCCACAGTGCGGCAGGTTCCTGACTCTCTACTGCTATTTTGTGGAGGGTCATCGTCGTCACCTGTCCACAAAACAACTTCTTGGCAAGTGCACGGCTTCACGAGTGGAGATCAGGCAGACCATTTTTTTTTTTTGTTTTATTTTTTTTGTGTGTGTGTTTGTGTGTGTGGTGCTATGGACCACGGATCAAATATTAAACTGATAATCAGAACAGATACTACACATGATCTTAGCCAAAAGGCCCAGAAAGGTATAACACAGCATTTTTAACTTTTCTGTAGAAGAAATATAGTGGCGAGTTAGTGCAACCAGGGGCCAAGTCCCACTAGCATTGCTCCTGTTCGGGTAATGGGGACCTCGCTGTTGTGTGACACTCCTTGCCCCTGCCGATTTCCATGGATCGTAGGGCAACTTGAAGGCCATTCTCTTCATTTTCATGAATGCAGGCGGTGAAGTTGGTGCTTTCCCATTTTGGGGCAGTGCACATGTTCACCTTCTTTGTTTGTCTAAGGTGGTCTGTGAGTCCTCCTCTCTGGGGCGGTGGACATCAAGCTAGAGAGGGGGACCACCAGTCCCGTTTCAGATATGGCGGTGATGAACCAAAAACCAAAAGGAAGAGGGCAAAAAAAAGGAAGAAAAAGTTTAGAGTAAATAACCAAAAGGGAGAGGGCAAAGAAAAAGGAAGAAAAAGTTGTGTAAATACTAAATATCTTACCTTCCACCTGTCCAGGCTAATTTATTGGGCCTCCCTGCACTGCTCTCCAAAGGTGGAATCGACAATGAACTTTCCCCAAACACATGGAAAGATACACTTCTATGTTTTGTCTTTTGTGAATGTCCAGCTCAGTGCAACTGGGCAGCTCTGTTTGACTATATATATATATATATATATATATATCGTCACAAACATAACTGCCCGGTAAACCGTAGGCAGAGAGAGAGAAGAGGACAACAAACGAGGGGCTGTATTGTCACATTGTGAAT